ATTCTGCACTAGCTGCAGCCTCCGGATCTGGGACAAGGGCAGCCCCATGTAGAGAGCGTAGCAGTAGTCTAATCTTGAGATGACCATTGCGTGGATCACTGTTGCTAGCAGTATTCCCTCTAAGCTGAGTTAGTGTGAGCTAGCTCACAATTTTTTATCCTCCAGCTCACAGATTTTTGTCTCAGCTCAGGAAGGATGGCTCCAGAAAAAACTAATTTATGCAGTAGCCAAATCACTCCCTCACAGCTTTAATGCCAGTAGCTCACAAGGAAGAATTTTTGCTCACAAGACTCCACAGCTTAGAGGGAGCATTGGTTGCTAGGTCACTGTGTTCGAGGAAGGGAACGAGCTGCCTAATCAGCCGCAGGTGGTAAAAGGCCACCTTGGCAGTGGCTGCTACCTGGGCCTCCATTGTTAAAGAGGCATCCAGGAGCACTCCAAGACTCCTAACCCTCGGCGTTGGCACCAATGGCGCCCCACCGAAGGTCGGTAATGGGATCCTCACCCTCAACCTGCTCTGACTCAAGCACAGGACCTCCGTCTTCGTTGGATTCGATTTCAATCGACTCAGTCTAAGCTAGCCCACCACATCCTGAAGCGCCCGCTCCAGGTCATCTGGGTCGGAGTTGTACCAGCCGCCCAACAGCATGCTGATGACACCACAGCCCATGCCTCCGGGCAATCTGTGCAAGGGGGCGCATGTAGATGTTAAACAACATCGGGGATAGCACCACCCCTTGTGGCACCCCGCACACCAGTGGGTGCCTCTGGGACGCCTGCTCCCCTAGCGCCACCCTCTGTCCCCGACCCTAGAGAAAAGAGACAAGCCATTGCAAGTCAAGCCCTTGGATTCCAATGTCAGTGAGGCGGTGGATCAGTAACTGCTGGTCCATGGTGCCAAACGCCGCTGACAGATCCAACAACACCAGTACTGCCGTGCCGCCTCGATCCAGATGCCTTCGGAGGTCGTCTGTGAGAGCGACCAGTGCCTTCTCCGTCCCATGACCCGGCCGGAAGCCAGACTGGAACAGGTCCAGCATGGAAGTGTCATCCATGAAGCTCTGCAATTATATCGCCGCCACTCTCTCCAATACTTTGCCCAAATAGGGCAAATTGGAAACTGGCCGATAGTTGGCCAATTCAGCCGGATCCAGTGATGGTTTTTTCAGAAGAGGGTGGACCATAGTGGAAATTGTAATAACGGCAGCAAAGGCCAGGTTGCAATGGATTGAACCCAACTAGTTTTTCCCACTGATAAAAAGGAGGGAGGAGGTCCTCTCCAAAAATCTAAGCTGAGGATCATGCATGGCTGTAATCAAATGGAAACCTGGGCAAAAGTGAGTGAAAAACCTGGTGGGATCTAACCCAAAAGCTTCAGGCATCTCTGCTATAGGCAAACCTCTTTCACTTTCCCTGTGCATTCCCACTTTCCCTCCCTTCTAACAAGCTCCCAGCTATAACTCATCCTTCATGTTCCTCATCTGTTTTTATTAATTTAGATAATTTCTTATAAGCTAATATGTCTGGGGAGAGAGGGGAGGGAGGTTTTTTCCCAATCTAAGAACATAGCCAGCAGTCAGACGCTGAGCATAATTGCTCCTCCGAGTCTCCCCTGTGAATGCCATTCAGGCCTAAATGTACCTCACCCAACAGTCCTGTCTCTGGTCGGTTGAGACAGATGCAGAGGCCCCAGAAGAAGGGGATGGGAAACTGCCCAGGTTGGGTGGGAAGACGATACTGCCAAGCATGCTGGATGCTAATCTTCACGTAAGAAGGGAACTCACATGTGGGCTTAAGTGATATAAAGACATTTAACAAACAAGTAAGAGAAAACCTTCCCATTACCGTGGCATAGATGGCTGTGGAAGAATGCAGGGGAGCATGGGGTGGGGGCAGGGATGCAAGAACGTGCCAAAACAGAATCTAGAATCTGCAGGAACAGGCATGATTTTAATGCCAAAACCCATAATTAAGACTAAAAATAGGATCCCAGTGCCTGGTCATTATCCCAGCGGGTGGGAGAAGCCCTGAGGCAAAGAAAGGCCTCACCCTGAACATATCACAGGCCCTCCAACGATCATCTGCTCTCTCTCTCGCTCTCTCTCTGTATTGATAAAATGTGTGCACATGCACGACCATGTGTGAGGGAAGAATGGCCACACTAGGTTTTCCTCTCATAGCTTTCTGCGTACTGTGTGTCAAGAATGGCTGTGTGGGTCTGTGTGTGCTTGTGAGAGAGTTGGGAATGGTAGGGGCAATTTAGACAACTGTTTCTGAGGGGGAAGAATGAGCAAAAGCTGGTCCCCACCACCAATATGCAAGTGGCAAAAGGGTCTTCTGGAAAGTTCCCCATAGCCCAAAATGCAGGGAAACGTGTGTGTTTTGGGATGTGATACATTGCGATTTTAGCACTTTCACAAGCCAGATGGGACCCTCACAATCAGACTGGGATAGCAGTAGCCTTGAGGGAGACTATGCCCTTGGTAACCTAAACAGGATAGCCCAGGCCAGCCCGATTTCATCAGATCTTAGAAGCTAAGCAGGGCTGGCCCTGGCTAGTATTTGGTTGGGAGACCACCGAGGAATATGAGGGTCACCCACGGAAGCAGGCAATGGCAAAGCACCTTTGAATGTCTCTTGCCTTGGAAACCCGACGGGGTCACAGTAAGTCAGCTGTGACCTGATGGCAACAATAACAAAGGCCCTTGGTCTCTGACTGTGGAGGATTCATTCCTAATATTTACTGACACCCTTTCGGACACACTGCAGCCTCTGGTTCAAATAACAGCACATTATTACACACAACACACTGCATTCATCAAGAGAGTACTGTAGAAAAAGTCAATGGGCTGGAGGCAAACAAAACTGAAATTTTCTGCTGATTCCCCCTTCCTGCTGCTGATCACTCCCCCATGTAATTCCTCAGGGTCTACTATCCCCAGGAGAAGCATTTTGTAGAAATCACTGGGCTGAAGTAGGAGGGGGAAGGCAGGGAAGTTCCATTCTGCCACGGAAAATTAGTCTGGATCCAACCACAGGTATCTGGCATAGATGGCCATGGATAACTTGGGATTCTCTAGGTAGAGTACAGGGATCCAGAAGAGCAGAAAGGTAGAAGCCCACAGTCCTGACATTCTGTGAGAGAAGCTGAATATACAAGATCAAGGATGGGCTTAAAGTAAGTCATTATCCACTAGTTAGCTCCTGGCCAACTTCCAGTGGTCTGCCTAGCATTTTCTGCTTACTGGAATGGTGGACTAGGTGAACCTTGGTCAACTCTGGGAAGGCACTTATATCCTTAATCACGATGGCAGATTCAGGATCACTACCCAGACTAGCTGCATCCTGCTTGCAAAGAGCTCTTGTGCTTTATAAGTGCAACCCATCCTTGCAACAGATAGCAAACAGAATGGGGCAAAGAAATTCTTACTGAAATGAACATCACAGCTGACCGATAGAGAGGGCTGGGGCACAAAATCTCTTCTGTAAGGAGATTTTTTAAAAGTATCTTGTTCCCATGTCTACATTCTCACCATTTTATCAAAGAGCCCAGGAGTCATCCTGTCTTCCCATTAAATTCCAGTGCCAAATTCAAAAAAGTCCTCAAGGCAACTCCAGCTAGTACTGCTATGTCACCAGGTAGAAAGAACCAAGAATCACAGTGCTGTGGAGATCATGATGCCCTACAAAAGTCTCGCCTCCCCTCCCCTCCGGGTTTTTTTCTGGATGCCTTCTATCAAGTATTCTGACTCTACCTCCTGGCTGCCCCTATTCATTAGTACAAAAGGAGCTTCTGGAAAAACCTCTTAGGAAACTTTATTCCTCTTTCCTTCTTCTACCCCTCCCCCAGAAGAACTCTTGTGCCTTCATCAGCTGAATGATAAATAAGGAAAAAAACACGTGTGCAATTTTGAATCAGCGTAAAGGTGTAAAGCTGGGAAATTGCCTGTTGAATGTTGCCTTTCCCCAACCCTGCCTCACCATGCTGAGGAAAGCCTCGCCTATGGAAGTCTTGTCAGCTTTGCTTGTAGACACCAAAGGGTCTATGCGGTGTACATGAAACATGAAACAAAAAGTGCA